ATACACACATAATATTTTGTTAATATTACAGTTTGTAGTTCTATAATCTTAGGGATGGTTCCATGTAAAAGGTCACAACAATGTCCAGGTATAATTACTTGTTCTTCGTGTTTGGGTTTGTAATGATATAATTCTTGCCTAAATGCCCGTTAATTTTCCGGATCAATGATAGGTCTGATCAAAATAATAATATCTAACAGACCAATTATAATACAATAAATGTAAATAAAAATAATTTCAAAATTCATAGCAATTGTTTAATACATCAGCAGCTATTATAGACTACTAATGATCCCAGTTAGGAGAGTTACAACAGTGGGTCCAGTAGTCAACTTCATCCTTTCATTCATTCATTATGTCATTATTACAAAAATGTGTTGCACTTTTACAAGACTATCGATGTAAATAAAGCAAAAAGCAGATAACTGATTGTAGGTTTTCGTTCCCTTTCTCTGTGTGAATTTAAAATGTAATCCGGGTTTCTAATAGCATCTACTAGGGTCTACTAAATCGGGAACTACACAATTTCTATAAAACTTTTTGCCCCATCGTTTTACAGAAATTTTTGTCGCAGTCGATTTTGTCGATTTTTATCTTTTTTGTCCAAATGCCAAATACCTACGCCCCCTGGGTAATATGTAGTCGACGATGAAAATAATTTACATATTCTTTTTCCACTATTTTTTTTTGCCACTATTGAGTTAAAACATACGAAATTATTTGCTACATCATAGATTGAATTTTTACTATGTCCACTTAAAATATTCACAATATTTAAAATTTGGAATAATAATTTTTGTCATTTGATTTTTTTTACAAAAATAATTACTGCAACTGATAAGATTCCCAGAGACATATTTTGCAAAGAAGACACTTGCATCTCACTAACATAAAATATTTTCTTAATATATGAATTATTATTTGTGGTAGAGGTGGATATTCTCTGAATGTAATTAATTCTTAAATTCATTTAGAAAAGTTTTTATCACATTCGAATGAAATAAACGACCGAAATACTCGTTGTTACCGTAACAGTAGGATTAGCTAGGTAAAGTTTGTCTAGAATTATAAGAATTTTTTGGACTCCCAAAGTTAATTCATTTTACAGCCCTGTCGTCTATTTTATTGTACAGCTGAAGAGTTTGCTTGTAAAACAACCTGTAAATGGAAAACACCTGATGTTCGCTACGCGATCAGTCAGGTATTATAGCAGCTTGACGATACAAACAACAAACAATAGCAAACAATAAAATTTGTACCTGCCTGTCAGACTGTGCGATGCGTAGTGAATTTGGGTGCAGTAAACATTGGTTTTCCCCTGACAGGCTTTTCAGCTGTACAGTAAAATTGACGAAAGGGCTGTAAAACGGATTAAGTTTGGGTGTCCATAAAATTCTTATAATTCTATACACACTTTACCTGGTATTTTATAATCCCTGACTGAACTGCGGAATGGAGAGGTTTCAAGAACGGAATAAATATTTAGTAAATAACTTGAACATACTATTCATATCAATTTTCAAACAACTTCACTTTCTTTCCTTTTCGTTCTTTTTAAATAAGTATTTATCGAAAAAACACCCATATATCACATACTTATATAGATTTGTGTAATCACAAGTTAATACTTATTAGTTGCATATAATTTCCGAAACTGTTAAATAAATCCACCGTAAACTAAACTAAAATATAACGAATTATACTATTCCAAAAGCTATAAGGTTATATGACCATCATAAAAGTAGTTGACCGCAAATAGATACCCCCTTTGTGTGGATCACACTAAGTTTCCCGGTTGGCAATAAATCTTCTTCTAAACATTTCTTGCTCACATTTAACAGGGCCGGCTTTCAAAGCGAGTGGTTGTTTCGGAACCCTCAGCGGCTCCAGGTAGTAAAGAAATAATGGAGCGTTGGATTTACATATTTTGTGAAAGCCGCCCCTGAACGAAACCTCAACAGCCGGTCGAGCTGCAGTGGACACATTATTTACGACCCTAAAACCTTGTCTATTGAAACAACTTAACTTCGACACAATGAGATAATTTTATGACGGCCATATAACCTTATACCTTTTGGTCTACTATACAAGTATATAAATGCCACCTGCATGATCGCAGCAGGTATATGTATAATACAGCTTGCCGGACGGGAATTCCGGTGACGGATTAGGACCAATTTTATGGCTAGCACTTGACCGCGACGGGAGTTTAGGTGCTCCGAAAAGAAAGTTGGATCAGGGTGGAAAACTCTTCAGGGGCTTAAGTAGATAATTACTCTTACAATAGAAAATAACAACAACAACTAAATTAAAATTTACAGCCCCATTAAAGGACAGTAGCAGTTATAATGGGTTGTAAAGTTTAACGAGGTACAGGGTCGGTGAAATTTAAAGCACCTGGCTTAACCACTTTTAAAGTACACAGTATTATCACAAAAGTATTAGCTCCTCGAAAATAATACTTCTTGGATGTACCGGATTTAGGAATAAGCAGCGGCATTGATGAATCAAGTATGAGGTAGAAAATACCCACGTGTTTTGATGAAAGTTAATATCTCTATCTACTTTCTGTACACCACATTATGCAAAAATCGAAAATTATTTATTCCTCATTAAAAAACGATTACATTCTGCTATTTTGCTGATTAACAGTGTAAAGTGTGTCTAGAATTATAAGAATTTTATGGACACCCAAACTTAATCCGTTTTGCAGCCCTTTAGTCAATTTTACTGTACAGCTGAAAAACCTGTCAGGGGAAAACCAATGTTTACTACACCCAAATTCACCACGCACCGGGCAGTCGGGCAGACAGGTACAAAATTTATTGTTTGCTATTGTTTGTTGTTTGTATCCTGAGGCTGCCAACTGACTGACCGCGTAGCGAACATCTGGTGGTTTCCCTTGACAGGTTGTTTTACAAGCAAACTCTTCAGCTGTACAATGAAATTGACGACAGGGCTGTAAAGTGAATTAACTTTGGGAGTCCATAAAACTCTTATAATTCTAGACAAACTTTACCTACAAGAAAAACGAATTTAATACCATGAGATTTTATTTCAAAATTTAATTATGCTTAAATTACATTTTGTGATGTTGATGGAGTTTCTTTTCATTCCAGAAAAATTTTAAAGGTGGATAATTTAGAAGATTATTACGCAAAGTCGTGAAATTCATCACTATTTTACGTTAAACCCATCTACTCATAAAATAATAAATTTTGCTTGGGAAAATGAAAAAAATTTAGATAGGTATTTGAGAACAGAATCAAATTAATATTAATGTTAATAATAATTTAGTTAATATAATAATTAGTAAGTTTGAAATTTAGTTTGGAAACAGAGTACATACGCTACTAATTAATGAGTCTTCCAAGTTAAAAATTCAATTTACAAAAAATTTCCCTTATGGATTTTCCCTTTTTAGTGTCTGTACCTTTCAATAATTGCGAATTTCAAATTCAAATTTATCCATAGCAACATATTCATAACATAATAATAAGAAATCACCTACGAAATGTTACTAAAAAGCTCACATTGTAAGTGTTTTTGACTAGGTGTATTTCCACGATTATACCCGACTGTTTTAAATTAGCTAGACCAAATCTGTTTTATTAATTTGTTTAAAGAAACTTTCAACTACACCAGCAATGTATAGTGAACCAAGAGTTATAAGGTTATATGGCCATCATAAAATCATCCCATTGTGTCGAAGTTAAGTTGTTTACAATAGAAAAGGTTTTAGGGTCGTAAATAACCTGTCCACTGCAGCTCGACCGGCTCTTGTGGTTTCGTTCAGGGGCGGCTTTCACTAAATATGAAAATCCACCACTCCACTATTTCTTTACTACCTGCAGCCGCTGAGGGTTCCGAAATAACCACTCGCTTTGAAAGCCGGCCCTGTTAAATATGAGCAAGAAATGTTTACAAGATTATTTATTGCCAACCGGTAAGCTTAGTGCGAACCACACAAAGGGGGTATTTATTTGCGGTCAACTACTTTTATGATGGCCATATAACCTTATAGGTCTTGGTTCACTATATTACTTCATATCTACACTGACCGGCAAAAAAAACCGGCCACCCTGAAAAATTTCACAAAACCACTTTAAAAATTATTAATTTAACTAGTGATCGTTATTTTATTAAAGAATCATTCACTATTGACACATGATGTACAAATTAGCAACAAAAAGATGACAATTAAACGCACAATTAAATTTAATTTAACAAAATAACAGAAACAGACCAAGTACGAAATTTTCTTAAAAAAAAAAATAAACAGTGTTTTTCATCATTTGATTATAAATTTGGCAATTAATATACGTTTTCACGCCAAAATAATTCCTTTAACTCTTACAGACGTCTCTCAAAGTGTCGCTCTGTTTCTGTTATTTTGTTAAATTAATTCTAATTCTGCGTTTAATTGGCTTTTTTTTTTCTCCACACAGCAGGTGGAGAAATTGTATCATAGGAATGTAAATCCAGAAATCAAAACATTTTAAAAATCGGAAAATTGAATAACCGAAAGTTGGAAAATTCAGATATGGAAAATTCGAAAAATTGTTATACAATATTGATTTTTCCAAAATTCTAGATGTCTAGAACACGGGTTCATAAAACACCTAGAAAACGAGAGACCTATTTTTCATAGTCTAGGGGTCATGAAACGTCCAAAAAACGTGGAACTAAAATTTATTTTTAATATTATAATTTATTCAGTTATTAGAGTAACGATCCGAAAAATGGTACTCCTGGTTTTACCGCCGGGCAGGGATTAGTACTTATTGAGGAATTAACAACAGCCTCCCCTTATCTGAACCAATGGGTGTTGAAAACACCCTCCCTCTTTATCTAAACCAATGAGGATGCAGGGCTCAACACAGTACCACCACTTAATTAGCTTTCGTACTCTTGGTTTTATTTTTACTCATTTTTATTCCACCTGCTACTACGAAAGGGTATAGACCTCCCTAGCGGTGATTTTGAAATCTTACGCCAAAATGTCTCGTAGAGTTTCCAAAGTGTCCCGTACAGTTTCTAGAGTGTCCCCTGTAGATTCCAGAGTGGCCCCCACAGTTTCCAGAGTGTCCCCTTTTACTATGGAGCGCCTTAAAGGCAATGTGTTTATCTGCAGACGTAAGTCCCAGAACCTCACCTCTTCGGACAGCAGCGATGGCGGCAGCTCCGGCAGCAGCCAGTCCCCGACCAGCACCCACCCCGGCTCTCCGCCGCCGACCACGACGTCGTCGTTCAAGCGACCCGGATACTACGACAACCCGGACGGCTTCCCCACCAAGCGCCAACGCATCTCCCATTACCGGAAGCCCTCCGAACAAACCACCTACCGCTCACCGGTAGAGAACAACAGCCAGCGGCGGCTCGTCACCGACTCGTGGGATTGTAGGAACGGCTCGCCGCAGGCGGGCAAGACGGACAGCGGGTACGAGAACGGGGCCCCGGTGTCGCCGGTGCCAGTGAAGAGCGGGGCCGTGGACAGCAGTTCGGAGTTCCCGGATTACTTAACGTAAGAAACACGCAAATTTGGTTATTGAAATTATGTAACAGGTTATCTATGATTGCAGGAAGTACAGCAGGATCAAGGATGCCGAGCAGAGACGGAGGTTCGAAGCCGATTTCAATGCCGACTTCGCCGAATACAAGGACTTGTACAAAATTGTGGACAAGGTTTCGAGGAGGTTTGTCAGTTTTGAATCGATGCTTAAGCAAGAAGACGCTTCTAGTCCCAGGTTTCAAGTAAGTCGAATTTTATATTCTCTAATTCTAGTGATTTCGATATTCAAATTAGAATTTTTAAACATTGAGCATAGTTCGTTTAACTATAGAACTTTTAGTTTTTGGGCAAAATCCGATCAATTTTAAATATTTATGTTTAGCATAAGAAATATGAATTTTACATGCGTTATCGAATGGATAAATTTTCCCATAATTGTAAAATTATGTGTCTAGGAATTACATATTTTATTGTGGTTACATTTCGTTTTGTCGTTGTTTCAGGCCCTAAAAATGCAAATCGTTAGGGAATACAATGAAAACAAGAAAGATCTGGAGCATCAGAAATTAAAGCGGAGGTTTCACTATCTCCACGACAAGCTGTCGCACATAAAACGGCTGGTATTGGAGTACGATCAGGACTTGTCAAATAACCGGAACTGACCCTGGGACGTGGACCGTAGGCCTCAAGCCCCGGCACATTGCTATGGACTCCTGCCATCGGACGCTCAATACTAACATCACGGACCACAATACAAATTTCCCCCTAAAATGGAAGAAAAAGAGTGTCTAGTGTATTGTATTCGTCTTAAGGAACAAGAGAGGAATTAAGTAACTCTTTTGGTAGATTGTCGTTGAAAATATTGTAATTATTGCTTATTGATAATTCGTTATTTATTAATTTTGATGTCAAGTGCATTACTTAGATTTGTATAGGTTAATTTGTTTATTGTAATATACATATTGATACAATCACTCTTTCTTTGAACCCAACAACAAACGGATGCAGAAAAGATTTCTAGCTAAAATTTGATGGTTTCGTTGCTCTTTCCGAGCCCGTTGGGTGTCTGGTTGGCTTAAAACTACAAGAAAACGCTTCAAAAATGACGTTTCTGAAGAATTTTAACAATTTTCTTGTATGTACGAACGCCAGAATGCTTAAAACTGCCCCAAACGTCTCCTTTTCGTAATTTGAGACGATTCTGCAAAAAATGTTGAAATATGGTTAAGATTTAATAAAAATAAAAAAAAAATACGATTTCTATCTAAAATTTGATGGTTTCGTTGCACTTTCCGAGCCCGTAGGGTGTAAAGATTTGTCGGCTTTTAAGTTATTTGAATTTAAAATTTTTTTTTTTTTTTTGTTTTAAATTCCAGTTTTTCAAATTTGCTTCTTTTTTTTTAATTTCTCAGTTTTTAAACACTTTAATTTTGGAAAATGTTCAATGTAGATTTCCCGGTTCTTTTTTTCAATTATCAGTTTTTCAACTTTTCGTTTTCTTAAAATTTGATATTTTTTGATATTTCAATTTTTCGCTTTCTCAATTTATTGAATTTTAGATTTTTTGATTTCTCTTTTTTTTTAATCTGACATTTTTCGAGTTTTCGGACTTTCCGTTTCACGTCTCGATTTTTCAATATTTAGTATACTAAGTGCAAAGAAAAATCCGAACACCTGGATAGAATAATAATTTTTCGAAAATCTTTTGGGCTTACAGTCTACTATTTACTACTAGTAAATGATCAAAAATTCAAATGGAAATGTTAACACCTAAGCTACTAATGGGTTGGAGCACCGCTGTTATTGAGGCATTCGTTTACACGCCTTGGCTTGGACCTAATGAGTCGATCAATGTCATCCTGATTTAATTCATCCCAAGCAGCTTGTACTTCACGCTTCAGGTCGTTTAAAGTTTGTGATGGTAGTAGAAGATGAGTTTAAACGTCGTCCCATCATATCCCATACATGCTCAATGGGCGAGAGGTCAGCAGATCTAGGAGGCCATGTGTTGTAGACTTTCGGTCTCTTAGAGCTAACAATCGCAGACGACGATCTTGGCGCTCAGTGGTAGCTCTTGGTCGCCCGGATCCTTCAGCTCTGTGTCCTCTACCGTCTTAACTCCACGCCTGCCAACATTCCGTCACTGTAGACACAGTTCTGTTAACACGAAGTGCAATTTGTCTAAAGGACGATCCTGCTTCACGCATGCCTACTATTCGACCCCTATCAAAATCACTCAATTGTGAATACTGAAGACGTTTTCGCACTGGGGGCATGTTAATGGGTTTTTAAGGAATTTTAATTGTCGAAAGCGAATATCGAAAAACGTCAAAATTTGACTGAACAGCCCCAGCTTGTTAGATCTCAAATTAGGTTAACAACAATTAAAAAGACGCACAAATTCTTCAAATTGCCTTCATATGTTCATCATTTCTTACTTATACAATAACCAATTCGTGTATAAAATTTCATTTGAAAATATCGACGTTTTCAAGGTGTTCGGATTTTTTTTGCACTTTGTAAATTTTTTTGTTTCCCGATTTTTCAATTTTTCGATATTTTAATTCATCATTTTTTTTTAATTTTAGATTTTTCAGTTTCCCGTTTTTTTTTTATTATTCAATTTTTCGTTTTTTTTTTTTTAATTCAGATTATCTTTACAAGTTTGGATTTTATTATTTTTTTCTTTTTTCTAACTTCAATTTTGAAATATTTCGAATTTTCCATTTCTCGACGTCTCACTTTACCAATATTTCAAACTGTCATCTCAAAATTTGTTTTAGCCTCTCAATTTTTATTTTTGATTTTGATTTTCCCCATTATTTAAATTTCATTTTCTCGATTTTATATCACCATTTTCGTTTATTAAATTTTTCAAATTTTCATGTTCGATTTTTATTCCTGGATTTTTGAATTTTGGTATTTTTGGACTTTCAGTTATTTTGATTTTTCAATTTTTCGTTGCAGATGTTTTAAAGTCATTAAAAAATTTATGACGTCACCTAAAATTTTAGAAGAAATCCTATCTTAAATGTATAAAATATGTGATGTTATGAGTTTATATGCTTGCGATTTATCACTGCATTAATATTTTTTAGATTTGGTTATACAGGGTGTCTCAAAAAAGTTAATGACTGAGTGAAATATGAAGATATAAAACAGGTTGTCATTACCAATTAATAGACGAAATTATGTGACGGAAATAAATACACATATACATTCAATAAAATTAAAAAAGATTTCTCCACATACCTTTTTGCCTTTGGTGTTCATAGCATTTAAAAGTTAATTTTCAACAGTTTTAGGCATTCCTTTAAAAACCGTTGCTTCTTTCAAATGATCTGACAAAGTCGAATTCAGCCATAAAATCAATCAGACCTCGAAATATACCTGGACTTTGTGATCCCTACTTTCGTCATGTCCACGTAAAGCAAATTCAAACACTCCACAAAATTTTATGCACATTATCAATCGGCGTAATATATGGCGAGTTTTGTCGACCCTTGCATTATGTGCACGAATATTATTAACATAAGCGGTGTGTAGTTGTTTCCGAATGTCTGTATTACCGAGAAGATTATCCAAGAATATTTATCATACGTGTTTGCGCAGAAGTAAAATTAAAACCCGCGATAGTAACTTAATCCTCCAGAGCACGATCGCAACGGGCTCACAAGCCAGTTGCATCAGGCGCATATCAGGCGGCTACGACGTGTAGTTTCCATGGGAACGGTGTAAACAAAACATCTAAATCAGTCATGACTCGGTCCATTCGGTCTCTGTGCCGGGCTTTTATCAGCATTTCATCAGAAATAACATATCAAATATCCAAGACACATCTTTAGATGCAAGTGGAAGTAAGTTTTGATACATTTTATACAAGTCGAGCGAGATAAAAAAATTAGTTTTGATAATTATGACACAAATTTCCGGATAATTTTTCAAATATTGTGCCCAGTGTGTTTGTAAACGTTGTAATTTTGGGGGGGCACGTGCTCTTGTGCCCCCCGGCACTAGCCGCCCCTGGTTTGATGTGCGCGTTGAATGCAATTTTCTAATGCAGGACGATCAGCAATTTGTCCATTGGTTCACAAAATTCTGAATTGGAGCAGTGCAGCCCGCTAATAGTAGGTATTAACAGAAACAAGTGCACCAAGCACGTCGTTCTTGTCTCCAGCATCAAGCTACAGTGCTGAGAGTTTTGAAGAAGTGCTCATACTGGATGATGAAAAACAAAGTAGAGCTTCTATAAGTAGTGCCTCAATTTGAGATCCCGACCAAGAACAAACACCAACACCATTTGGAAAAAAAGGTTCCATTCCATCAATAAGGTAACAGAATTTTATTTTTCTATTTCTGTAATCTATTAAATAAATACATATTTACAGTTCAAATATTTCACACAAAAAACAAAAATTAGAAGAAAAATTTGCCAGCACTTTGGATCTTGTAAGTAAAAATTTCGGCAACGAAAATTTGTCAGACCAATATATATATTCTTTTTGTGCTCATATAGAGCAGGAAATGTTCAAAATGCCCAGCGACACAATGGAGGAATTCAAAGATGGAGTAATGGAGTTACTTCTAAAGACAAGGAGACAATTACGTGAGAGTAAAAACAGCTGACTGAAGTTCATTTTTTGTTTTTAGTTTAGTTTTGGTAAGGTTAGGTATGCATTGAAATAAATAAAAAATAGTATATGCTGCATTATTATTTAATGAATGTTTAGAATTACATTTTCTGAATAGCTTCATTCTGATATGGTACTGAGCCAATATGAGGATTAAAATAATCTTTAATAAATTCTCGATATTCAGATGCACTTTGTTTAGCGTTTCTTGCGCCGAGTCTTCTCTGGTCTGATGCTCTGCGCAGGGAACAATTTTGTGACACTTCGTTGCGCCATTGTCCAGGTATAACTTGCCCATCTATTTCCTTATCAACAAAATTTAAGGGCACATAGCGGTGCTGACTGGCAGGCAGGTTATCCTCATTTTGTTTGATAAAATTATGGAGGCAGATAGCAGCTTGCACTAATTTGTCAACATTTTCTGGATCCTTAAAAACCACTATATGAAAGATTCGAAACTTAGCAGCTAAAATTCCAAAGGCATTTTCTATACATCTTCGACCACGTGAAATTCGGTAGTTATAAATTCTCTCTTCTACTGGTCGATTCTTACCTCCATATGGACGCATCAGATTTTCTTGCAAAGGGAAGGCTTCATCACAAATGAAATAATGTGGAGTTTTTTTTGAGGTGCCCGGAAATGCTGCATCATCAGGAATATTCAGCAAATTATTGTTTAATTTGTCTCCAAACGATGACAACCTTAAGATACCTCCATCACTTTGGCATCCATATGCCCCGATATAAACGTAGGTAAATCGATACTCGGCATCACACACGGCAAAAAGTACAATGCTAAAGGTCTTTTTGTAATTAAAATATAACGTCCCACTTTTCTGTGGGGCTCTCATTACAATATGCTTTCCATCTATTGCACCCAAACAATTTGGAATATTCCATTCAGAAAAATACTCTTCTGCAATCCTTTCCCACTCATCTTTGTTAGGTTCTTTTAAAACAACTGGGTGTAAAATTTCCCAGATAACTGTATTTGTTTCATTGATTATATTGCACACTGTGGATTTTCCCATTCGATACAAGAATGCCAGCGTTGGAATACTATCCCCAGCAGCTAGATGTCTGCAATTATTAATAATATGTTATTATGTGGATTTTTATGTGTACTCATTGTATTTACCTCAGAGTTAATATTAGTCGGGCTCCTGGAGTTATAGGTTCTCTAAAACTTGTTTTCTGTAGAGAAGGCCCTACCAGCTTTAGCAAACAATCGAACTGCTCTACAGTTAATCTTGTGTAATTAAAAAACATCTCGACATCATTAAGACGCATTTCTTGCACCAAGTTTTCGTAATCGCCTTGTTCTTTTCTTCTTTCATTGATGGGCTTAACCCACCATCTCCTTCTCTTTTCCTTGTGTGATAATAAATAATATCCACACAACATTGTGCATAGAGGAGCACTTCTCATTTGGCTCCGTTTTAATATTAGAGACATTATTATTATGCCCGACTATAGTAACCTGCACAACACTTAACAAATATGAACGAAAGACGAAACGCTTCTTTTTAAGGTTATGAACCGTCGTCTGCGTTTAGATGAACTAATAATAGCAATGACGCTTTACCGGCTTACTTCAAATTAGTCGCCAAATTATAACGCGAAAGCTTAATATTAGACCTTATTACAAGATTCTGCGTTAAGTGCTAAGTTAAGTTGCTAATTTGGTTGGTTGTGGATGATCACATTGTTGTGAAAGCAGTGGCGTAACTACCGGTGTTCCACGTGTTCGGCGGAACACGGGCCCGCTGCTTCAAGGGGCCCGGTCCGGTCACACGGACATTTTTTTATTAGACTTTTTTTATATTATTGCCCAAATTATATCCTGAAATAAAAAATTCGAAAATGTGCTGTAATCCCAGGATCGATGGTTGATTGCTATTTACGAATTTTTTGCTGCAAAGGGCGGCATCTCAATATCATAGACTCAATAAACTCGGGTTTTAGCGACCGGCACCGGCGGTCGAAAATGCAGCAGCATCTGTTTGTAATAAACCTGTCGCAGTGTCGCAATCCCATTGTAGCAAATCTAACACCCCATGTAGTAAATTACCAATCTTTATCCGACAAAAGTATGACTAATTTATGATGCAAGACAACAAAATACTTAAATTTTGTCCTCAGTTCTACAGTGAAACTTCATGCTGTAATAAATCGTGAAAAAAAAAATCAGTTTCAGTTGTGTTTTATGAAAATTTTCGTATTTTCAAAACTATTTTAATTTTGTACTAGTGGTGCTCTTTTGGAATAATAAAATATATCTGACGTATGTTACAACTAATTTTTTAAGTAAAAAAAAAAAACTGCACTGGGAAATTATTACAGAATGACCTACCTGTACTAGTGTCACTGAAATTATCACAGCATGTTTCACTTTTCTTACAATACCTCTTTCGGTGGTTTCAGCGGAAAGATCTTTTTCGAAATTAAAAATGAGTAAACATTTTTTAAGAAACAATGAGCCAATGCAGATTATCTTCATTGAATCTCTCAAATGGAAATCAAATTACTAGAAGCTTAGATGTGTCAAATTTTGTATCTACTTTTGCCCATTGAAAAGCAAGAAGAAAACAATTTTGAGATTAAAAAAAATTGGCATTTTATCTATACTTCTATACTTACTTATATTATAAAGTTGAAGAGTTTGTTTGGTTGAACGCGCCAATCTCAGACACTACTGGTTTGAATTCAAAAATCTGTTTGTGTTGGAAAGTCCGTTTATCGAGGAAGGTTATAGGCTATATAACATCACCCTATGATTAATAGGAGCGGAGCAGCAATGAAAAATATCGGAAAAACGGGAAAATTATTCGTCCTTTGACAACTTCCGTTGCTTACGCTGCTTATTAAACGGTTAAAGTTACATAAAAATCATGTATGATGGAATTGTTCCCTTCTAAAAGTTCTAAAAAAAAGTCCGCGACAGCATACGTCAATCTTTTATGGTCGACTCAGTATAACCTTTTTTATGGTAATGAATTTTTTTCTAAAATAATCTAATATAAAATTCTGGTGTCACAGTGTTTGTAATCAATCTCCTCCGAAACGCCTTGACCGATTTTTATGAAATTTTTTGTGTATTTTCGGTAGGTCTTGTAAACTATTTTTTAAACCCCTAAGTGATAAGGGTGACCCACCAAACTTTTTTTATTTTTTAGACATTTTTTATTTTTATTTTTTTAAGATTTGGCATCAAAAAATACATATAACCCTAAATTTTGACCCTTCTACCACCAACCCCCATTTTTTAATAACGATATGAGTATCTTTGCTTTCATCCACAGATGCGCAATAGGGTTGCAAGATGGCCATTGAATATAATCATTGTCGTACGATAAATTTTTATGTATTTATTTTAATTTAATTTTTTATTTAACTATGTACCAAAATATTCACTAGAAATGCCAAAACAACGTTTGGCGGGTCGGTTAGTTTCTAATATTGTATATATTTTAATTATATGTCTTCAGGTAATTATTGTATTTTATTTTTTTAATTCAATCTTTCAGGTAGAATGATTTTAATAAAACGTTAGCGCTAATTGCAATCTACTCATTCTTTACTCATTATACTCGTATTTTTAAATATTTTTATTTCGCTGTTCATTAGGGGCCCCACAGTGTTGTAGAACACAGGCCCGCAGTTTGATTGTTACGCCACTGTGTGAAAGCCTACAAGGTTCTACGTCTAAGTGTAACTACTAATTGTAAGTGCTAATTTGAACATTGTGAATGAAGCTTTACATATGTACCTCTGTATCAAGTGATATTTTTCTAAATAAGTTACATATATTTTTTGTTGACTTAAATTAGATTGTAGATTAATCCATATGCTATGTACTTGCAAATTAATTGTAAATGTTATAAAAAAAAAAAAATTTGACTCTTGCATACATATTATGTACCTGTGTACCAATGTGATATTTTTGTAGATAAATGTGTGGGTATTGTTGGTGATTTAAAAGCGACGGTACGGTTTTAAGATTTTATTTCGTTTCTTACTGTTCGAGGGTGTCAGGGAGAAGCAGGAAGGGTGTTTAAAATGGTACACAGGTAAGCTCGGTTTCGAAGAGGTGGAAGTAGGTAAAAAAGGAGTTTAGAAAATTCTAGAAGGGAAAAGCGAAAGTATGTAGGAGCGTAGGGCAGGTAGACGAAAGATAGGAAGTATTTACATTTATACAATTATTATGAATGCGCTCAGGTTGAACACCTGATTTTGTGGGAACCGTTGTTCCTACAAATGTATACACATATTTTTTATTGGCATAGATTGTAGATAAATACATAATTATATGTATTTGTAAATTAATTATAAATGTTATACAAAAAAGTATAATTTGGACATGCGCATAACTTATTTGTGGCGTACTAATTCTTTTAAATAAAAATAGTTTTTTTTTGTGGTGAAGTACATTCTTGTATATTATTGCACAGTCTGGACGGTGCCGCCCATTAGTCTGAATCCGTCTCCCTGCGTAACCGGGAGAGAGAAAAAAAAAAAACCCTTTTTGTCACCTTGACCACTGGGAAACAACTTAACTATAGCCCTGAACGTACCCACTTAATCCCTTGGAGAAACGTATCCTTTATTGACTTTATACCAATTTTGGTTTTATCCTCGTATTTCTAAATTTCTTATCGCATTTGATCTTATTTTACTGCTTTAATGCCTTTTCGTTTGAGTTTAGAACTCAAATTTTGTGTTATTTTAGGTTTTACCAAGTTTTACTAAAAAAAAAGTCTAAAGAATGGTATTTCCCTTTTTAGTGAAATATAATCCGTTTTGTCACAAATTTTAAATATTTATGTTTACGGTAAGAAATATCATGAGTTCGCCTAACCGCTTGATGTCATTATCGCTAAAAAAGTACTCAAACCTCATTTGACATACACCTGTTGAAACTTTTATGACTTAGACGGCTTAAGCCAAAGCACCCTTATATAAGACAAACTGGCTATTATAAGCTTTGTGGACCCGAACCGCAAAATTATTACTGTCCATCGTTGGTATAATGTAGCTGTGAACTGAGTTAAGTATTACAGGTTTTTGTATACCTAGCATCCAAAATTTATTATCAATGTTTAGAAATTCTAAAGTGAATACCGAAAGTAACTTGAATTCTTTAATTTTTCGGTTTGCAGTTTTTCGAGTTTCCAAGTATAAATTTTTCAATTTTCTACGTTCTTAATTTTTCAATTTGCATTTCTCGTTTCCAATTTTTTCGGTTTTTCAATGTTTTTTGATTTTATATTTCTTTTGTTTATAGTTGTGAAATTTTTCAATTATTGGATTTTAAAGCTTTAATATTTTCGATTCTATAATTCTTCGATTTTATAATTTTTGGGTTTTTTAATTTTTCGATTTTTCAAATTTGTGAATCTAAAAAATGGAAAAACAATGAGATTGAAAAATCAAAAATGAAAAAATTTAAAGAAATCAGGAACTTGAAAAAGTGAAGAAACGAAAAATTGACAAATCTAAATAACTGAAAGTCCAAAAATAGCAAAATTAAAAAATCCAGGAATAAAAATCAAACATGAAAATTTGAAAAATTTAATAAACGAAAATGGTGATATATAAAATAAAATAAATTAAATAATGGGAAAAATCAAAATCAAAAATAAAAATTGAGAAGCTGAAAAAAATTTTGAGATGACAGTTTGAAATATTGGTAAATTGAGATGTCGAGAAATGGAAAATTCGAAATATGTATTTCAAAATTGAAGTAAGAAAAAAGAAAAAAATAATAAAATCCGAAAATCTGAATAATCAAAAAAGCGGAAAACTGAAAAATCTAAAATTAAAAAAAAATGATGAATTAAAACATCGAAAAATTGAAAAATCGGGAAACCAAAAAATGTTAAATATTGAAAAATCGAGACGTGAAATGGAAAATCCGAAAACTCGAAAAACGTCAAATTAAAAAAAAAGAGAAACCAAAAAATCTAAAATTAAAAAAAATGAGAAAGCGAAAAATCGAAAAATTGAAATATCAAAAAATATCAAATTTTAAGAAAACGAAAAGTTGAAAAACTGATAATTCAAAAAAAAGAACCGGGAAATCTACATTGAACATTTTACAAAATTAAAGTGTTGAAAAACTGAGAAATTAAAAAAAAGAAGGAAATTTGAAAAACTGGAATATAAAAAAAAACAAATAAAAAAAACTTAAAATTGAAACTTAAAAACCGAAAAATCTTTACACCCTACGGGCTCGGAAAGTGCAACGAAACCATCAAATTTTAGATAGAAATCGTATTTTTTTTTTTATTTTTATTAAATCTGAACTATATTTCAACATTTTTTTATTATTCTGAGCGACGAAACACACTTAGAGCATGCAGAATCGTCTCAAATTACGAAAAGGAGACGTTTGGGGCAGTTTAAAGCATTCTGGCGTTCGTAGATACAAGAAAATTGTTAAAATTCTTCAGAAACGTCATTTTTGAAGCGTTTGTTTGTAGTTTTAAGCCAACCAGACACCCAACGGTCTCGGAAAGAGCAACGAAACC